GGGCGATAGTTAGCCAATACATCTGGGTCCAGGGAAGGCTTCTTAAGGAGGGGCCTCACCACCGCCTCCTTTAAGGCTACGGGGAAGACACCCTCCCGTAAAGAAGCGTTTATAATTCCCTGGAGCCAGGCTCGTGTACCCTCCCGGGCCGCCAGTACCAGCCAGGAGGGGCATAACATTTTGTAGGGGCATAACATTTTGTAGGGCATAACATTTGATCTTTTATTGTCATTTCTGCTGAGTAGAATTCTATTCTAGTATAATCTGGTTATACAATTTTATGAATTATGGCAATGTTTAGTGGCTTATTTAAGTTGTTGGAAATCTGATAAAATGGTAGAAATCTTCAGCTTCAATTTGCATAAATTTTCTATTAATACCCATGTAAATATTTTCTTGAAACAGATTTGATTACAGTTGACGTTCTGCAGTTCATTCATAACTGTAGCAGTTTCCTCATCCTATTGTAAATAAAAGACACAAGTCCTAGCTCAAATCAAGGAGGGTTCATACATTGATATGTCCAACATCCAGATAAATCAGATTGAAGATCTGTTCCAATGTCTTAAATCCAGATGTTGAAAAGTCAAGAATGAGTTTTATGGATCATTGAGTAGCATATTATGGCTGTTTCCCCAAATTATATCTTCACCCCAAAGAAATTACATTTGTAGTTTTCATCCTCCATATAGCTGAACATGCTCCGAAGCTTGTCTAACTTTAGAATTTAATCTTAGTTTTAGTTATCACTTTATATTATTGAAAAGTGGTTGTCTTCAGAGTTTATTTTAATAAAGAAAGTCATTCCTTAAAATTCATATGACCTTTCTCATGACCTAACTCTTTTCTAAAACTTTGCAAGGCTCTATAGTTTACATTAGGGAGTGAGTGAACTATAGTATAGTTCATTATAAGCTGCTATATAAAGGGTTGAAATCTTCATATGGAGATGACAAACAACAACATAATTCAGTTACAGTAGATTATGTGTTGACTTTCAGGCTACATAACAGAAAAATAAGAAAAATGCAAGTCAATTATCATTCAAT